ACGTCTTGCACTATGAGCACAATCTCTGCTGTTATCTGAGAAATTATTTCTGATTTCATTTTTTCCAGATCCTCTTTTGTTACCAGTTCAGGGAGTCCAGGTGGTTGAGTATCAGAATGTTCCATCTCATTTCCCTTTGGGGTTGTTGTAGGTGATCTGGAAGTGTGCTTTTGAGACTTGTTTATGTGTCTTCTCATATCAATGGGGGGTGGGGTGGGGGGCTGTTTGCTGCTGGCGCCTGCGAAGCTCACTTCCTCTGTGCTGGCAAGGGTGGTGTGGTGCGCTGGAAGCCTCCTCTTGTGAGCTGGGAGCGGCTCACCTCCTCTGTGCTGGCAGGGGTCAGGTAGAACTCTTGAAGACACTGGTGACGGAAAAGATTTCATGAGCAAAACCTAGTCACATGTGAACTAGTGCAAAGAATCATCAATTAGGATCTCATCTTATTAAAAAGCTTCTGCACAACAAGAGAGACCACCAACAACATGAAGAGACAACCCACAATTTGGGAAAAATTTTTACCAGCTGTTCCTCAGACAAAGTTCTACTATCTAGAATCTATAAAAAACTTTAAAAAAATCAGACCTCCCAAATTTAAAGACCCAATCCAAAACTGGGCATCTGAAATGAACAGAAATTTATCAGACAAAGTAGAAACAGCAAATAAACGTGAAAAAATATTCAACATCAGGTCATCTGAGAGATGCAAATGAAAACAACGCTGAGATTTCACCTCACTCCAGAAAAAATGGCTGCTATCAAGAAATCAACCAATAGCAAATGCTGCCGGGGATGTGGGGAAACAGGAATCCTGCTCCACTGTTGGTGGGAGTGTAGACTGGTGCAACCACTGTGGAAATCGGTGTGAAGATACCTCAAAAAACTAGGATTAGAGGTCCCACTTCACACAGGGAATACCCTGCTGGGTAACTTTCCAAAAGAATGAAAAGAATCATACCACAATGACATATATGTGTACTCATGTTTATAGTGGCACAGTTTGGGATAGCTAAAACTTGGAAACAGCCCAATTGCCCATCAACTGGAGACCGGATTAAGAAAATGTGTTTTTTTTTTCTAAAACAGAGTACTACTCAGCCATAAAGAATGAGAAACTAGAGACATTTATAGCTAAATGGATGCACATTGAGGTGATACTGTTAAGTGACATACATAGGACACATGCGTAAATACTGAATAGTTTCTCTGGTGTGAGAAACTGAAATTGTAAATAAGAATCAAAATGTACAATAGATAATGTAAAATAGGAAGGTCCAAAGGGGAATGGGAAGTGGGACGGGGAGGGGTAGAGGAAAGGAAAGAAGGGAAAGTAATAAATATAAGAGAAGGAAAACGTGGAAACAAAGTCTTTACAAATAGGGATGGATGGAGGGGTTGAAGGGAAGGCAGGGGAATGGGGAAAAAATAGGAACCAAGACATGTCATGTAAAAGGTACAAATTCCCAAGGATGAATGTCATCATATTGTATGCCTAAAATGTACCATAAACTTAATATATATATCCAGGACATTAAAAATGTGATTGAAAGTATAGGTAGTAGAAATGATCGATGTGAAGACAGTGTCTGATCTAGAAGACAGGGCTGTGGTCAATGATAAATTAATGAGAGATACCTTAAAAACAACAAGGGGAACATGAAAAAACATGAAAAACAACAAGGGGAACATCAGCTCCTAGAGGGCTCAAAGAAGGATAACACAGGAGTAATTGGAATTAGAGAAAAACCAAAATACAGCACAAAGGGCATAAAAAACCTGTTTACACACTAACAGCAGAAAACTTTCCAGACATGGAAAAAGAAGTTAACATACAGATAACCGAAGCAAATAGAATTCTAAATAGCCATGATCAGAAAAAAATCACTCCAAGCCACATAATAATTAAAACACCAAAAATACAACATAAGAACAGAATCTTGAAGGCTTGTAACAAATGCAACAAGTCACCTATAAAGGGAATACTATCAGAATTACAACACTTTTCTCAACACAAATCTTAAAGGCAAAAAGAGCATGGAATGAAGTGGACCAAGCTCTTGAAGAAAATAGCTTCCCATTCAGATTGTTATATCCTGCAAAATTATCTTTCAAAGGTGACAGAGACATAGATATTTCCATGACAAAGAAAATCTAAGGAAATTCATGACCTCCAAACCAATGCTCCAGAAAATTCTCAAGGATATGCTAGAAGGAGACAATCAAAGTAATAATGCCAAAAAGTTGAATAAAAATTGATATATTGGGTAGGGCTAGCAATTAATTAGAAGGAGAAGAAAGCAAAAATTTAAAAAACAACAGAAAATTAATACAATGACAAGAATAAGTCAATACCTACCAATTATAACTATCAATGTAGAATTTTTTTTTCTTTCCAGTACCAGGGATCAAACTCAGGACCTTGTGCTTGCAAGGCAGGCATGGTGCCACTGAGGTAAATTTCCAGCATAACTATCAATATAAATGGACTCAACTCACCCATCAAAAGACACAAATTAGCGAATAGGAGAACAAACAAAATCCAACAGTATGCTATATACAAGAAACACATTTCATATGAAAAAGAAATTCATACATTAAAATAAAAGGATAGAAAACAATATTCTATGCAGTAGGAATGTGTAAACAAGCATGAGTAGCTACCCCCTTTTTAGACAAAGTGGATTTCAAGCCAAAGCTGATCAAAAAAGGCAAAGAAGGACATTACATATCGGTTAATGGAACTCTTCAACAGGAAGAGATAAGATTTACAAACATATATGCACCAAATTACGGAGCACCCAACAACTTTAAAAAAAACCCTCTAATGAACATAAAAGATCAGATAAGCATCAGTACAATTATAGTAGGGGATCTCAACACCTCACTATCACAAGTAGACAGATCAACAGAAAAAAAATCAACAAAGAAATATCAGAGTTGAACCAAGCTTTTCAACAAATGGACTTAATAGATATATACAAAGTGTTCCACTCAACAACAGAATACACATTCTTTTCAGGTCCATGAGGTACTTGCTCCAAAACAGATCACATGCTAGTGAATGAAGCATGCTTAAGCAAATATAAAACAATCAAAGTTTTACCCCATATATAATCAGATCACACTACAGTGAAACTAGAAATCAATAGCAAAAGAACTTGTGCAAACATACGGAAATTAAACAACAAAATCTTGAATAATCAATAGATCACAGAGGAAATTAAGGAAGAAATAAGGCAGCTCCTAGAATTAAATGATAATGTCAGTATAACATACCAGAATTTGTGGCACACAATGAAAGCCATCTTATGTGGAAAGTTTATAGCGGTGAATGGCCACATCAGAAAAATAGAATGAGCCCAAATAAATAACCTAATTGTCTGAGTTACTTTTTCTCATTGCTGAGACAAAATATCCAATATCTAAAGTTTAAAAATGAAAGGTTTATTTTGGCTCACAGTTTGTAGAGGTTTCAGTCCATGTGGAAGACAGGCATCACAGAGAAGAAACAGTTCACAGCAGGCAGAAGGTAGCAAAGCAACAAAATAGTGAAGAAGCAAGTCCAAGCATCAAGACAAGCAACAATAGCAGCTTCTTTCTGACCCTTTTATAGTCTATCTAGGTTCTCCTGCTTAGGGCAGGTGTCAAACCAATCAATGGACTTATATTAGTGATCCTTAATCCTAACACCTTTAATCCTAGCATCTCACCATGAATCAATCACACATTGTAGATCCAACCACCTCTGAAAGAGCCCCACTTATGACCACATGAGGCTTTGAGGGGACATTTTAACACAAGCCATAACACTAACGATGCATTTCAAGGGCTTAGAAAAAGAAGAACACTCTAAACCCAGATATTGTACAAGGAAGGGAACTGTCAGAGCAGAGCAGAAATTAAGGAAATGGAGACTGAAAAAAATCAATACAAAGTATCAGTGAATCAGAGATTCAACATACTGAACAGAGGAGAAGTCATGCTGGAGTACTCAGATAAAATCAACTAAAAACACAGGTAACTGGAACAAAGGGAGACACACACATTCTGATATCAAAATCAATCTGAAACAACAGACTTGTAGATCAAACAAAACACAGGCATGGGACTTTAGAGAATGATTATCCAGGGTCTACTGCCTGTGGGTCTAGTGCCAGCAGGCAGATTAGGAACCAGAGCAGGAACCGCTATTCCCCTGGAATTCTCCCCCCCCCCCCCCGCCGCCAAAGGAGAGCGTGAAAATGTGTGGCAAGCTCAGTCCACCCAGGATAGATCTGGAATATGAGACCCCTCGTCTCTTTTGCAAACAGAGAACACTACAGCTTGGCCACAAATTTCACAAGGGCAAGAGACCAGGAAGCTGCATGGTCTCATGCATCCTCCATGATGGGCTGCCAGTTTTTTTTCTTTTTTGTGTGCCATAACGGCTAACTGGAACCTCTATCGACAACAAGCTTAGGGATAACAAGGAGCAGCTTTGAGGATAGCCAGTGGAACAACACGACCCCTCCTGCTTTAAGACAGGCATGAGAGAAGGACTTGGACTGCGGACATGGCTGGCTCCAACAGAGCAAGAGGCCTTGGGCAGTGTTGGTGACAAGGAGTGGGAAATTAGTACTCCTCTGCCCTGCAACCAGTAGGGAAAGCACCCTTGGGCCAGGAAGTTACCACTCCACATCTGACTTGTGACCACCAGCACAAGCACCCTTGGGCTACCACGGTGTGCGTGCGTGTGCGTGCGTGTGTGCGTGCGTGTGTGTGGAGGGGGACGGCAGTGCATGAGAGGAGCCAGTGGTGTGGAACACAGGAGGCTGTACAAGGTTGGCAGGGGCCAACTGTCCACGGGACTGGGAGCAGCCTCAGGCTGTCTCTGCCTGAAGGCACCACAGACAGCAGAGATTAGAGTTCTGACTTGGATGCTACCACTGAACTGTGGCAGTAGAGCAATTTTTTTCTTCTTTCTTTGTTCCTGTTTTGCTCTTTTCTCAACTGTCTTTCTTGATTTTCTGATATTTTCATGTGAATGAACATTGTCACTTGTCTTTCTGGTTCACTTCAACATTCTTTTGCTTTCTCCTTCATCCTTTCTCTCCTGGCCTCTTCTCCAGCTTCCCAAAGCCTGAGTGATCATCCTTTGTCCTTCAAGATTGTTTCTACTGTATTTCTCTTCAGTCATCATTCTGTTTTGTCACCTATCCTGCTTAAATCCCCCCCTCCCAGGGTAAAACCACTCAACCAAGGGGACACTCACTGCTTACAAGTTCCTGGTTTATGTTGGATGTTGTTACATAACTATAGCTCTTGCTCCTATGGTTTAAAGTACCAAATTAGCTGTTACCACAGTTTGTCAGTTTCTAGGCTGTG